CAGCTGTTTACACCTATAACAGGTTGTACTTCAATAACAACACCCCTCCCCCCCCAGCTGTTTACACCTATAACAGGTTCTACTTCAATAACAATACCATTGAATGATGGAAATAAATTGCTCCCTGTAATTTATTTAATGAGGCAGAGGGGACATTTAGTGAACCTCAATAGACTTCCTTTGTACCAGGCATGATACAAAGGAAAATTATATTCTATGATAAATGATGATATTTTACAATGAGAAAGCTGTAAGAAAATTTAAAAGTAATAGTTTTGAAAGTCTTCTTTGAAATTATAACGACCACGTTGTAAGTGAGTAGTAAAAAATACTGGAAAAGTTATGAGAAAAATAGGGTTAATTTTTGTTTCACAGAACGGACTGTGCTTTAAACCAAAACAAAGTTAAGAAATATATTATGATTTTGCAGAAACGGTTCTCAAAGTTGTATGTAGGTCAGACACGACTTTTACAAAGTTGATCTACATATATAATATATATTACATATATTCTTCGCCTTAGCAACATTTTCCTCCTTTTCTCATCTAGGCTCATCCTTACAATATTCTTCTCATCAAAAAAACGTTCTTTAATTTTAAAATTTGGAATAATTTGCGGCATTTTCCACTAGTTCTCAGGGAGTATCAAAAACTGCGCGTACACTGCAAGCGCTTTTAAGAATTCAACACAGTGTCAGGGCAAGCATTCGGATGTGGCTCGGACGAGAAAATTATGAGGATGAGGCTCGGATGAAGAAATTGTAGGGCTCCTGACGGCTATTTACAACTTTGAATTTTGAAAAAATCAGAGTACCTGTCCATAGGAGTCTACGACCTCCTCTCCTAGATCCAATTCCGTCCCTGGAGAACAGTTTTCTCCCTTGATTGCCTGACTTTCTGAAAAATAATTATACTTTTTCAACTGGGAATAATTTCTTGTATTATTAATACTAGAAAAAAGTTTTTCCGACTTTTTTATTTTGTATTTTTATTTTTAAGCCGCCAAAAAACTGTTGCCACCATTTTGACAACAAATGTCAGAAGCAGACAAATCTTCTATTTTTAACAAAAGTGAACGATAAGATTTTTTAATCTGCAATGTGTTACCAATAGAAAAATTAATAAAAATTTTCACGGTCGGTTATTGATATTAAAGATCAGTTTAGCGTGTGGTCCAAAGGATTCTCCCAAGGTCAATGAGAGACTGCGAAATGTGGGACAGCTATTTTCACGAATTATTAAACACATAATTGGTTCATATGAGATTGTTTTACTAGTGTCAATATAAGCTCAGGAGTTGTATTGATTAGTCACATTTAAACGAACAAATATGTTTTAAAGCTCATTTTCTATTTTAATTTAAAAAAAACATTTATATTGTGTTCTTGGACCCTTACAAAATGAAAAGCGGAAAGGGTTTTTACTTTTTACGTACTAAAAACTGAGAAACTTAACAAATATTAGTTTGAAAAAGCTGACTTCTATGCAGAAAGTCAGTAGGGAAAAAGAAAAAAGCATGTACATTTTCTTTATTTAGTTTGCAATATTGGACATGCACTTTGTAACGTTGAAATATAAAACTTTTGTGTATATACAGTCCTTACAAAGGATGAGACTGTAAAGACGACCGGAAACTCTAAAAATGTGACGATCCCATAGATAAATTCAGTATTCCGCCTTAGTTATAGTAATCTCTAAACCTTATATAATAATTTGGCAAAGAAAAAAATAAGATTACAGTTGCAGGGAATCGTGAATATATGTGAACGGTCAGTATAAATTTTGTACAGTCGTCTCTGAAGTATTATCCTTTGTGGGTAACCCTGTAGGTTAACAATGTTTAAACCTAATAATATTAAAGTATTCTATATTTTTTACGCAAACATGAACCCAATAATGAAACAGTTTTTGTTATAATTTAAGAACCTGTTCTCTGATATGATTACTTTATTTCATGAAATATGAATTCAGATTAAAAGTTAGAATATCGATAAATCTCATTTTTGCAAGAAAATTGCACAGGTCCAAGTTTCTTCATAATTCAAACGTAATTTAAAAGGTTTAAAGTAATTTACTCTTTCTAATATTATTTAACGTATCCCTTTGATCCTAAAATCTCTGATCGTAAAGATTTTTAATCTTATTTGTAGTTTTTGCAGCAACTTTAGTTTTATATAATCACATGCTTCTGACAATTCATGATTTGTAAAATAAACAATTGCTTTAATGGATGTAATTTTTTAGAGATTATTCGGTTATTCGGATGGTATCGAAGATTTTGAAATAACATGTGTCTCAGATTTTGCAAACACTATTAAAGGGATTGTAAACGTAACTTTAAGTGACCCTGTAACTGGTCATCGAGGCCTTAAAACAGCCAAAACAAATATTTAGTCACATAAAATTACGTCTAAAGTCCATGCAAAAAATTGTCTATAATAAGTGTTAAACGTTAGGCCCCTTTTTATACAAATTTTTCCGATTTATTTTGAAAAACAGTCCCAAAGTTGTCTTTATTACGATCTCTATAATTATTTTTTCAATTTTTTCTTTGGTAAACTTTGCTTTTTATAAAATGCCATAGTAAAATTGTTTGTTGCTGAAGATAGAAGGATTAAATATTTTCAGCATTATTTGAAAAATTGACTGAAAAAACTTCCTTGATATCGGTTTCTTTCCATAAAATTGAATGAAAATATTATTTCATTATTTATAGATTTTTCCCTGCATAAATTTAAGAAAAATTTTTCAATATTTTTCTTAAATTTATGCTCAAGTAATTTTTAATGATTAAAGTGATAGCTGATGGTCTATACCACAGCAAAGACAACAAAACCCAAATTACAAAGGTTTCATATGAAACCATTTTTAAGTCTTTGACGCAAAGGTTCATACCATCAGTGACCGAATTTAAAACGGTTTAAATTTAAGTCGCAGCTTAAATATGGTTGGATCCACTTAAAATTGTATCAAATGTTTCAAGATTTAAGCCGGCGCTTAATTTAAACCAGGTTTTGGCAGATTTAAACCGCGGCCGGCTCAAATTCTTTAAATTCCATCTCAGGTTTCAAACATTAGAAAATTTAAGTTTGTGGTAACATTTCAAAAATAACAGAATAATTAAATTTTTCTTCTTTACTCACCTATCATGTTTAGAAGCTCATTGATTTTTCTCATCTTCAGCTGTGGATCAATCTCTTCATCTTCAAGCTCACTCTTCTCATCTACCTCAAGACCTTCATCATGATCTTTCATAGAGCTCTCAGTGATCATCTCAGGATCAAGATCAGTGAAATCTGCCAAATCAGATTCTATCTCAAGGGAGCGCTTTAAACGCATCTTGTAAACCTAAAGGGAAAAAAATAAATGTTTCCAATTGTTTTTTTATAAAGGGATTGGTAATGTTATTACAAGTGATCAAGTCATTAAACCTTGATCTCAGCAGTGAGAATTAATATTAGAAAGATTCAAGTCAGAGTAAAAGAGGAAAAAAGAAAATTATTAATTTTTAGAAATCACAGTATTTTTACATATATGTTATGGTCCAATGAAGGTTTTGTTATAAATGTATGGTTTAAACTTGTTAACAGCATTATACATTCAAAAATGAAAGTTGTGAACAATAAGAACAATTTTAAAATGGTCACTTTCTAGGGTTATTGACTTTATACCCATAGCTGATGAAAATAGAGAAAATAGACATCAAAAATATAATGTTAATTGAATAGGCTCTAGTCTGTATATTCACACAATACCATGCTCAATTCTTTGTGTAGATGCTGTCTGCTTTTGACATATTATCTGTTATTTATCATAGAATATTAAGATTTTATAATATTCTATTGATTCGCACTGAAAGAAAACTATCATATAAAAAATGACAGAAACAAAATATAAAAAATAAAATATGAAATATAAAAAAGGGACAAATTATTTTAATACGCAAATATACCTAAAACTATGTTAAATACAGCAATGTAATGGTTTCACATGGGTTTATCAAATTAGTTGACAAAACCGGAAAATGTAAACAGCAGATAACCTTAAACACAATATATTCTATACAGCAGGGAACCTTAAACGCAATATATTCTTTACAGCAGGGAAGGGAACCTTAAACTCAATATATTTTGTACAGCAGGGAACCTTAAACACAATATATTCTTTACAGCAGATAACCTTAAACACAATACATTCTGTACAGCAAGGAACCTTAAACACAATATATTCTGTACAGCAGGGAACCTTAAACTCAATATACTCTGTACAGCAGGGAACCTTAAACTCAATATATTCTGTACAGCAAGGAACCTTAAACTCAATATATTCTGTACAGCAGGGAACCTTAAACACAATATATTCTGTACAGCAGGGAACCTTAAACTCAATATATTCTGTACAGCAAGGAAACTTTAACGCATTATATTCTGTACAGCAGGGAACCTTAAACTGAAAATATTCTGTACAGCAGGGAACCTTAAACACAATATATTCTGTACAGCAGGTAACCTTAAACTGAATATATTCTGTACAGCAGATAACCTTAAACTGAAAATATTCTGTACAGTTGTGTCTGATGTTTCATCCTTTTTGGTAATCCTGTTTTATAAATGTTAAACTCTGCGATATATTTTTTAAAATTTTATATTTTTTTAATAAACCAAACAATGATAGATAGATACCTGATGGGATTGAATGGAGCTTGACATTGAAGCAATGATGATAAAAGCACGAAAGAATTGCATGTTAAAACCTCTCAACTGTGTCTCTACTTTTTATCACTTTTTCTCTTTTCCACGGTAGGCAACACAATCCTTTTAGTCCTGCACTGTAGAGGTTATAAACCCACTCTTTTATATCGTATTTTTTCAATAATCATACATTATAGAGTCCCACAGTTCTGTATCTTCAGATTGAGCTGGCTGCCCTGAAATTATAAAACGAATTAATAAAAACACAATATATATTAAACAAATATAATTAAATACAGTGATAACCAGAACACTCTGGAAAAGTAAGACGACCTTCAAACTCAAGATTATAGTTCATTGACTATGAGAAACATAAATTGAGCAATGAAAACAGACCCAGTTCACAGATTTCATTAATAACTACAGTCATAACCAGAAAACTTTGGAATATGAAATAAACTTTTAGACTCAAGTTAGGACAATAAACATTAAGTTCAGCGATGTTGCAGTGTAAGGACCCATTACATTTAATAAGTGATTTGATAACTTGACAACATCAAATTCACTTCAGCATTGCTTTCATGCTGTTTTCCTATTCTATAGTTCTGTAGATAAACTATTTACTTTGTAGCAACATGAAATACTCTTATATATTACTTAAAGGGACTGTAAAGGAATAATGAAAAGTGGTATTGGCTGAAACCTCAGGAGTTTATTAAGAGACAGTTCTATCTGATGTTCCTGTCTTGAGAAATTGATACAAAACTGTGGTGTCAAAACTATAACAAAACATATATATGTAAGATTTTGTATAAGATTCGTAGTATAATAAACAGATCATGTTCAGCAAAGACGCAACCAATCTGAAAACAACGATATCCCAGAGGAGCCTGAGAAACTCAAGTTTGCTCCTATTATTATTTGAATTTAATAATTTTTCATTTTTAATAGATATTATTGATAATATTATTTATGCGTCCGGAACATGTCACCAGAACTCCAACCATTGACAGTGCAGTATTATTGCCATGTGTCTCCGTCTGTATCACGTGACCAGCATACTGCACTGACATTGGAAGGTGTTCTGGTCATGTGATATGGACGTATATACGTTTAAGTGTAATTTTGACAGGAACACCAGATAGATGTCTCGTTCAACTCCTGAGATTCAGCCTATACCTCCTTTCATTTTTCCTTTCACTCCATTGAAAGGTCATCTCCCTATTCCAGAGAATTTGTAGTTGTGCAGTAAAGCAGAAAACTGAAAACATGGGTCCGTTGATGCAATTTTAAGTAACTAAACCCGTTATGTCAAATGTTCGAGTCACAGCGGTAAAATTTTACCAGAGCAAATAAAAGACACTTGCGGAATGCGGATTCATGCAGCGCCGGAAAAGAAGTAAATTTTGTCTGTAAAGGGTGAAAAGAAACATGCGCGTTACCTTTTCGTAATTTAAACGCTTAAAGCGCTCTTTAAACTTAATGTAAGCCAAGCAAAATACATCCTAATAAGATGTATGTATTAAAAAAGAATTTATAAACTATATGCAAACAATGTAATATTTCCATCTTTATTTTTGCAAGACTTCAGTTTTTACTCAACTTTTTTGAGCCAAGTACTGGTAAGTTTATAATCAATAGGAAATAATCATGCAATCAAACATTTAGTTTAGAAAATATGAAAGTTGTTGATAAAATGACAAGAACCATAATTTTCCTTTATTTCAATCATTAAGGGTTTTTAAATTAACTGAAATTGCCTCTAACTCCTACTATATATACATATATATATATACTAGAAATTCAAGGCGCTTCGCGCCCTTCTTTCTAGCCTTAGAGGGCGCTTCGCGCCCATCTTCTAAATTTTATTTTTTAAAATCTAGATATTTATTTATGTATCAAGGTTATTATAGTTTACAAGATTGTTAATATGGATTTAACACAAAACTTTCTTGCGATGTTATTATGTACATACAATTGTAAATCAATAAGGTCGAAATCTAATTTTAACAAATACATTTTTTTACGTTTTTTCATGTCTGGATTGCTGGTAAATTTATATTTAAGTATTGATAAAGCAGCAGTTCGAGAGAAAAAACTACATTATGTATTAAAGGATAGCATACTTTTATGAAATATGACTGGGAGATACTACAAACACAGTGTGTGTTATATCTTATTGGAAAATGTTACAATTAACAGTGTGCATGCTTTCACATAAACATACACGGGGGCGAGTTTCCCTTTTTACATTAAAGAAAATTATTGTGAGCTTCAAAACGAGAAACATTGACCGTTCCTCGTTAATATTGAAGCTACGTAGTTATGGATAAAAGAAAAGATTATTATATATGAGAAGTATTTTTCTATCAGGGAAGATTGATTTTAGCATCATTTTAAGCGAAATTATGTTAACTCGTTAATATTGAGGCTTCAACAGCAAGGTGAAAGAAGGAACATAAGAATTAAGAAATATACTAAATAAGAACATTATTAAAATATCAAAATATTAAAATAAGACTATAGAATATTTTATTGTGTTTATTAAGACTTAATGAATAATTGGAGAAGTAGATGAACATTAAGTGAATCAATTATTTAACTATTCTACTGATTAGTCGACATTATTTGCAACAAAATAGGTTCAATTTATACCAGTAGTTGAAGAGCAAACTGACAATTTACAGCAGTAATTGAAGAGCAAACTGACAATATATAGCAGTAGTTGAAGAGCAAACTGACAATTTACAGCAGTAGTTGAGGAGCAAACTGACAATATATAGCAGTAGTTGAAGAGCAAACTGACAATATATAGCAGTAGTTGAAGAGCAAACTGACAATATATAGCAGTAGTTGAAGAGCAAACTGACAATATATACATTTTTCACGTGATAAAATAATCGTACACGATATACACAAGACAAATGTTGTTTTTTTTAGATGTTTTTTGTTTTTGTAAAAATTTCTAAATAATTTGCTTTTAATATTATGATCGAGCCCAATATTGCCTGATGTTGAGTGGCTTGATAAAGGATTATATACCGATGCATATTTTTGGATGCATTTTTATTCTTTAACATATAATTCTTTACACAAGAGAATTATGAGCGAAATTAAAAGTTTAGAATCTGAACCATTGGGTGTTTCTATGAGAGCTGTTATTTTTTACTTCTTGACAAACATTTTACAGAAAACAAACCCGTTATTTCAATAATTTGGTTCTAGAACATGAGTTAATCATTTTCTGTAAATAAAGTACTTGTAACTTCAAGTGCCCCTCTGTACAAATAGGGGTATGTCAAATTTACAACGGTACCCTGTAAGCCTTAGTCTAATAACATAAAATAAAACTACCTTACTGCAGTGTCAACTCAACACAACTTAAATGTTACATCGAAAAAACTCAAAAATACAGATTTAAAAAGCGCAGTTTAAAAAAATCCAATGTTATATTTATCTTCTGCTTCTTTTAGAAATTAAACATTTCTAAATATATTTATTTCACATATAAAACAGCTTGCCAAACAGTGTTTAACATTTTTTGTGTAGAGAAATAAGGATAACTCCATCATCCTTGAGCATTTACTGGTTTATAGGGTCCTGTTATCAATCGGACATGTCACTAATTAATTTAGTTATCCCTTAAAATGACACTTACAGTCCCTTAAATCTTAAACATGGGCTTGAGCGGCAGGCGTTGGTTTAGATTTTTCCTTAGCACAAAATATTTGATGTAATAATGATATTTGAGCATTCAATAAACTGAATTAACCTTTATTATTGAAAATTAATCAGAAACTGTCTTCAATAAAGAAAATTAATTATTGACATCGCTAGCATACAAACCATCTTTGCTCCATATTTCTTAAAACGAGACCTTTCGAATTAAAGTACAGAAAGAGTCCTTATAAAGCTACTATTTACTATTTTGTCAACCAATATCGATTATTCATTTAATTTTAGATAAAGCCATAACTTGACGATAAAGATATATTATTAGAATCATCAAAAATAACAAAAATTTTAAAAGAATCTTCTCAAAAATTTGAAATAACAACAATTAAGGAAATGAGTTTTTGAAGACTTAAATTTTCTAATTCCCATACCTATGCAACTTAAATGTTAATATTTTAAACTATTTGATTTAACAAAATTCATAGTTTGAAACATCTAAGGTCTACGACATTGGGTTTGCAAAGATATAGGGATTAGATTATCAGAGTTTGTGGCAAAGACTCAATTCCTTTACGAAAGTATATATCATTACAACTTCATTGTTTTAGATCTGCGAATTATATTAATTAATTGAACAGAAACATCGGATAGAAATATGCCGATAATTTCTTGACTGTATAAGGTTTAGTGTTAAATTCTTTTTAATTTTTACATTTCCTTTAAAATTATACTTAAATTGTGAAAGTTTTGTAAAAATATTAAAATTGTGAAACTTTTATAATTTAGAATTAACCTTGGGCTCGTAAATCATCTATTTCTTGTAAATATTTAATAAGCTTGATATACTTCAGATAGTAAAACTTAACTACAAACCATTAAATCTTTATTATGCATTCACTTTTATACAACCTTGCACTAATTCACCCTATTTTAATAAATGCTTAAATGTATAACTTAATAAACCCAACCTACCAACTGCAATCTCTAACCTTCTTCAAAAAATATTTATAACTTAAGGATGAAAGGAGAGCTGTATATGAAAACAGATGTAATTCATCAAAGCTCTCCTGCTTTAGTAGTTTTACATATATTTAATGTACTCATGTTTTGGTAATTTAATATATTTAATGTACTCAATACTCATGTTTTGGTAATTACTTTTATAAGTTATTATTACTGCAGAAAAATATATAATTTGATTTGATTTGAATTATTCCAAAGTAAAAACGTTAAAAAAGTACTCATTTCTACCTATATATACTTCGCTTGTTTGTATCCATTAAGCGTAAAAACGGCTGAACCGATCGGGCCCAAACTTTGCGTGAGACCTCCCGTGGCCCCAGGGAAGGTTTATAAATGATCAAAAATTTTAAAATTTGCCTATTTTCATTAAGTTTTGAAAATCCACGAAATTTTTTGTTTGTGCTTTACAATGTAAACAAAATCAAAATGTTCACAATTGAAATAGAAGATGGACGCGAAGCGCCTAGTGACTACAAATTTTATAATGTGATTTAACTCCAGGGCCAGTGGGACTTTTTTTTCTTTTTTCTAAAAGGAC